CCTGAGCTTTTTTCATGCCGGGACTGTCCCATCCAAACTGAGTAGCTTTAAGAGAGCTAGGGGCAAAAACCTGCTATTTAAGCATCTTTCCTGATGGGTACAAATGAGGTGAAGTCTCTCACAGCCTGCAGCTTTATGTACCAATGCACACAATATACAAATGCACCTTATATGAAAGAAAGGGATTCTGCCAGGCAGAAATGATGACAGCACAACATACAGCAAAGCAAACATCTTTCTTTTTTATAATAAAAACATTCCCAGACTGTCTGCTGCATTAGCTGTGCATTACTGGCTATAAGGAATTAGTAGAGCAGACCAGAAGTGAGCTGTTTGTTTCTGCCTCATATAATGTTCTATGTCCATGAGATCTTTATGGCTTCAAGGGTGATGAAGGGAGGTTTTTAAGCTATGAAAAGTAATACACTGATACAATTTAATTAAAGTGTTCATCTGAAACACTTCCAGATGTTCAAACATCAAAGCTGCAGTTATAACGTTAGTGCATTTCAGTACTTTTAAAAACTTTCCTCATCAATTAATTTTACAGGGACTGTAATAAGTCTGAGGTTGCCTAGGACTTAATGGCTTTGTCTAGTTGGGTCTTCAAAACCACCAATGATGGAGCTTCTACCACTTCTCTGGGTAACCTGTTACAGTATTTCGCTACCTTCCTAGTGAGAAAATTCTCCCTGATATCTAACCTAAACTTCCCTTGCCTGAGCTTGAGACCATTGCTCCTTGTTTTGTCATCTGCCACCACTGAGAACAGTCCAGCTCCATCCTCTTTGCAACCACCCTTCTGGTAGTTGAAGGCTGCTATTAACTCCCCTCTCAGTCTTCTCTTCTCTAGACTAAAGAAGCCCAGTTCCCTCAGCCTCTACTTATAGTCATGTCCCCCAGCCCCTGAATCACTTTTGTTGTCCCTCCGCTGGACTTCCTCCAATTTGTCCACATCCTTACTCTAGTGGGGGGCCTAAAACTGGACACAGTACTCCAGATATTGCCTCAGTTGGAGTTGTATTCTCAATTCTGCCACTGTTTGCAGTACAACCTGGAGCCAAGCTACTTTAGACAAAATGTTCAGAAGTGGTCTTTGATTTTGAGTCGTTTCACTCAATGTGGGAAACTTTTGAGCAAGTTGTCCAAAACCAAAGCAGTGGGGCCACTTTTGAAAATATAATCTTTCTGCACTTCAGCCTACTTCTCTGTAGACTATATATGGCAGTATTTGATTAGGTGCCGGGGAGAAAGTTATCTTGGCATCACCTGGAGTGTGAATTTGAACTGGTTTTGTTAAGACTCATGCAGATTGGGAGTGTACCTGCATTGTGTAGCATTCTGCCCCAGCTAACATAACTTGCTGAGGATAAATGATGTATTCAGGGATATTACCCTGGCTTATGTGTTGTACTAATACAATTTATACTGGCTGCATCTACACGTGATATTAAAGTGATGCGATAAACTCTGGCGCAGTTTGCACCGGAGTCAGCTGCTTCTGGGCACAGCGTCTGCACATGTGCCAGGGACTGCGGCAGTTTGAGCCAGGGCAGAGCATCCCCAGGCTGCCAGAGGGCTGGGGGTCAGTCCCAGGGTCTGGATGGTGACCTTGGGTGGTGGAGGGGCTGGTTGGGACATGAGGAAAGTGCTGGCTGGGGCCCCTGCACTTTAGCATCCTCATGCCTCAACCAACCCGTTACCATCTACAAGTGTGTTTCAGTGCACATAATTATTTAGCTGTAGGATAATACTGTCCCTGACGGTACTATCCTACGGTGGAGTTAATTTACTGCACCCTAATACTAGTGTATATGTAGACAGTGACGCTTTACTGTGGAGCTAATTAGTAGTAAAGTACATGTGTAGATGCACCCACTGTGTCTGATACATGACAGTGTGGGGAGAAATAACAATGGGAAGAAAAGTGTGAGAAATGCAGACCCCGTGTGGAAGGGGTGCAGTCAACAGGCACACCAGCCATGAGGGCAAGGCTAAAAGACTCCTGCTTCTTGTGGCAAGTGTGACAGATCATGGCATTGTACAGTACTCTACTGTAGTTTTCATTAAAAAGCCAGTGTTTCCCAAAGCCCCAGACTCTGATGCTACAATAGGTTTCTGTACTTGTGGGTTATTGGGCTATTACTGCGCTACTGCACAGACGAGTGTATGGTGAATGTTGATAAGTGATGATTTTTTCATAGTTTCATAGTTTCTAGGGTCGGAAGGGA